TTCGGATTGGAATCTGGTTAGATTTGATATCAGCCTCGTCGTTCCCAACTCGCTTCCAACGCCTGGTTACCAAGGTAACTGCATTGATCTCCAGTCTGCCTACCCACGTTGTGAATTGATCTTAGACAGACGAGATCAAACAGTGGTTGGGGCCGTAATGCAAACTGAGTTCAACAGGGGTGATACTACATAAATATGCATAAAAGAAAATAAAATGAAAACTCAAAAAGTTCAAAGTATCAAAGAAAAAGGTAACAAACTTTATGTCTAGTTGTTCGATACATAGGACTGCATCTATCTCCCGACCCGTTCTGTGGATTGTGACACGTCGTTTCCGCTAGGCAAGTTTTAACGCTTCAAATTGGTTGCTCTCTAAGAAATTGGTGTTTCGGTGTGTCTTTGGACGAAAGTCGAAAAACTTATTTCGCTGGTCTGGATCTAAGTCGCTCTTCAAAATAATTGTTTTTGGGTTGAAGAGGAGTCCTAAATTTGCGTGAATCTTGGTCAGCTATCTCGAGGCGGCTTCAACTCTGGAAACTCAACTCTCTGCTGGAGCCCGAACTGATTTCTTCCTGTTGGGGCCTCGCTTTTATTGACGCCGACCAAAACCGGGGTGGGTCTGTTGGCGTCGGTGGGTTCCTCGATAATTCTAAATACATATCCACCTCTTTTATTTCTGGTTAGGATTTTCCACTTTTTTCCATTTTTGGGAAACTTTCCTCCTCCCATTTTTCTCACCATACCTCTGAGGGGCGTGAACTGCCCTCCCCACTTCTTTTAGCAGCTTCTCATACTTATACTCTGGATGGGGCGTCGACAGCCTTCTTCGTGCGTCACGTCATCACCACTCGGCCAATGAGGTCTTGGTCGGGTATCTTTCCTCCTCCTTCGTGCGTCACGTGATCACCACTTGACCAATGATGTCTTAGTCGGGCGTGAACAATCCGTGGCTTTGTTTCGGAAAAAAAAATATCTTGCTTAACTAAAAAAATTATCTCTTCTCTTTCCCTTTTCTTCCGCTTAAATCGCCGTTATCATTTCTCTAGCCACGAACGGACAATATGACAACTCTTGTTCTACACGCGGTGTTTGTCAGGTATTTTATCGCTGATTTATCAAGATGGGTGGTCTTCTTAACATGGCTTCAAAAAAAAAAAAATATCCCCAAAGTTTTCAGTCAGTCTGTCGCCTCCAAGGAAGAAAGAAAAACACTTCTGCGTCCCCATTCATTTTCCTTCGGTACATATTCCTGAAAACATAATTTTATTATCGCAGGCCAAAGTTGTTTCGTCGAAAAAAATTCGGTCAGCGGCACTGCTTGTGTGTCATTTAATTTTTCATATCTGTCCAAAGTCCTTTTTAGTGGCCTGTTTCTCGTCACTTATCGAAATAGCATTTTCACTTGAATTTTTCCCTGGCCAGTGGTCCAGCCGTTCGTTTACGCACCTAGACAATTGCGTCCCGGGACATTTGCGTCCCTAGACAAATGTTATCAAAACACATCTGATTCCTTCTTTCTTTCCCTTTCTATTTTTTTACTCAGAAATTCCCTGTCATTGTAATGACACCCTTTTTCATTTGTTACTTATCAATATTTTCATTGTCTCTTAGCCGTGTGTGTGGATGCTTAACACCTACGATTCGTCTCGCCTTTCTTTCTGCCTTCTTTTCTTTCTCTTCCTTTCTCTGCCTCGTAAATGGTGCCACACAACACTGTTTATCTGTTATTGCATTTTAAACAAAAATAAAGTTTAATTTTTTATTTTATTCGTTTTTTTAAACATTTATAATTACTACCTATGATTTTTTTTTCAAAATCTATGTTATTTGCCTTTAAAACTTAAAAAAAATTGATAACATTTTGAAGCTTTTAAAGGTACGCAATTATCCAGAGATACGGATTTATCCAAGAACACATTTGTCTAGGGACGCAAATGTCCCGGGACGCAATTGTCTGGTACGCAATTGTCTGTGACGCAAATGTCTCGATACGCAATTGTCTGGTACGCAATTGCCCCGGACGCAAATGTCTCGGTAGGCAATTTTCCGGGACGCAATTGTTTCGGTACGCAATTGCCCGGGACGCAAATGTCCCTGGACGCAATTATCTGGTACGCAATTGCCCGGGACGCAAATGTCCCGGGACGCGATTATCTGGTACGCAATTTTCCGGGACGCAATTACCTGGTACGCAATTGCCCGGGACGCAAATGTCCCTGGACGGAATTATCTGGTACGCAATTGCCCGGGACGCAATTATCTTGTACGCAATTGGCCGGGACGCAAATTTCCCGGGACGCAATTATCTGGTACGCAATTGTCCGGGACGCAAATGTCCCGGGACGCAATTATCTGGTACGCAATTGCCCGGGACGCAAATGTCCCTGGACGGAATTATCTGGTACGCAATTGCACAGGACGCAATTATCTTGTACGCAATTGGCCGGGACGCAAATTTCCCGGGACGCAATTATCTGGTACGCAATTGTCCGGGACGCAAATGTCCCGGGACGCAATTATCTGGTACGCAATTGTCCGGGAAGCAAATGTCCCGGGATGCAATTATCTGGTACGCAATTGCCCGGGACGCAAATTTCCCGGGACGCAATTATCTGGTACGCAATTGTCCGGGACGCAAATGTCCCGGGACGCAATTATCTGGTACGCAATTGTCCGGGGCGCAAATTTCCGGGACGCAATTATCTGGTACGCAATTGGCCGGGACGCAAATGTCCCGGGGCGCAATTATCTGGTACGCAATTGTCCGGGAAGCAAATGTCCCGGGACGCAATTATCTGGTACGCAATTGCCGGGACGCAAATGTCTGGGACGCAATTATCTGGTACGCAATTGTCCGGGACGCAAATGTCTCGGTACGCAATTGTCCGGGACGCAAATATCCCGGGACGCAATTGTCTGTTACGCAATTGTCCGGGACGCAAATGTCTCGGTACGCAATTGTCCGGGACGCAAATATCCCGGGACGCAATTATCTGGTACGCAATTGTCCGGGACGCAAATGTCTCGGTACGCAATTGTCCGGGACGCATATATCCCGGGACGCAATTGTCTGTTACGCAATTGTCCGGGACGCAAATGTCTCGGTACGCAATTGTCCATGACGCAAATGACCCGCGACGCAATTGTCTGGTACGGAATTGTCTGCGACGTAAATGTCCAGTTCGCAACTGTTCTAGAACCAAGATAGAGACCATAATATTCCCTACATACCCGGAGGCTTAAGAGATGAATTCATGCTTACCCGAGGAACATATTCGAACGGAGCTCGAAGTCGGTCTATAGGTGACAGATGAGAGCAGATTGTTAACTACTGCGCCTCGGCAAGACGACCACTAAGAGGGAGAACAGGAAGAAAGCAAAGAAAGATGACGTCATTTATTCACTTCTGAGTATGTAGTTTTTTTTTTCCTCGTAATCATATTTATCATTAGCATATGTGCAATATTGATGTCTAGATATGCGGAGAACAATGGAGAAATCCTGGGAGTAACTTGAGAAAAAGAAAAGCCTAAACGCTGAAAGACACCGACAAGAACGCCTACGCGTGCCAGAGCGTGTATGCACACATCTGTATCTTCACAAGAGTAAAGCGCCACGCCATTCTTCTGTTGATGTTAACAATAGGATTATAGCCTATTGAAATCTCTCAGATAATAATCACATTTTTACCGGACAACAAATAACAGTTTCTTTCTGTCTAAATTGTATCTGGATTTTTCTTTCTATCCATCAATCTCCACACACACACACACACACACACACACACACACACACATATATATATATATATATATATATATATATATATATATATATGATTATTTATTCGAAAATTATAACATAAATATGTCATAAAGTCACTACAAAAATAACCATTTCGTTTCAACACTTCTGGTGTCTTATCAAGTGATGGTGTTGAATGTAGAACTTTGATAATTCACCAGAAGTGTTGAAACAAAATGGCAATTTTTGTAGTGATTTTATAACATATTTATATTATAATTTTCGAATAAATAACTATATTTGCTCTACTCTGTATTGAGCACTCTTTTACGAATAGTATTTGTTGATTATTGAAATCTATTCTGTATACACCAATTATATACTTGTAATATATATATATATATATATATATATATATATATATATATATATATATATATATGTTATGAAATGGACAAAGTCCGACAATTATGTTAAGACATTTTTATGCTTATACATTCTTTTTATAGATACAAATATTTAAGTGAATGCTCTGTTTAATAAACAGTATGAAACATTTACCGGCCTGAATGTCCGAGAAATTTTCACAGAAAATATTCGTCACGAATGACGGATCCATATAGGATACAGGTTTGAATCCTGTCGGAGGACGAATATTTTCTCTGAAAATTTCTCGGACACTCAGGCCGCTAAATGTTGTTTAATACTGTTTATTATAAAATATGTGTATCTATAAAAAGAATGTATAAACATAAAAACGTTTATATATATATATATATATATATATATATATATATATATATATATATATATATATATATCACTACTACCTCAGAAAACCTTCATTGAAGGAAACCGTGGTAGCGGAAAAGGTTTGTGCTTGTGATATTTTAAATACCAACGAGATCTGCACCTTCGATTTTTGAAATGCGTATTGATTACATTTTTAAGTAAATACAAAGATTTACTAAATAGAATAAAGCTTGTCGGTAAATCAGTTTTATTTTGTATATATATATATATATATATATATATATATATATATAAAGTGAACATAGAAGCCTGATGATTGTGTCTAGTAGTAAAAAGCCTGTCGCCTCTGAGTGTTGACTTCAGTGTTTCACATACGCTCTATCTCTGATATTGAGCACTTTATCCCATAAATATAGCACACCTTAAAACTATATTTCTTCTCAGCTCTAGGGTTAATAATTCAAAGTTAGCTATTATCCATTACACCACGCGCACATCCATGCTTACTGCACCTGGCATTCCCAAATGGTCACTCCTTAATGTACTGACCAGGCTCGACGTTGCTTAACTTCAGTGATCTTGGGGAGAACCAATGTTTCAACGTGATGTGGCCGTAAGCCGTCGAGTTTTGAATCACATGTGTCATCATCAGTGTTTATGTGTGTGCGTGCATGCACGTGTGCGTGTGCGTGTGTGTGTGTGTGTGTGTGTATGTGAAAAATAACATATGTATTGACCCAAAAGCTGTTGGTTTTATATATATATATATGTGTGTGTGTGTGTGTGTGTGTGTGTTTGTGTCTGTCCTGTGTGTATTGTCGAGCAGTCTGTCCATTATTTAGCCAAAATTTACGTTGGTATTCGATATTTTATATAAGTGACTAGCAGAGGTACCCATCGTTGCCGGCTGCAATTGTATAGCCGTATCCCCGGTATACCAATATCTCCCTTGCTAGAAATGTTCGCTTGCATCCCCGCTTTCATGCATCATCCTTTGGTAAACTCAGTAAACTCCCCTGCCCTCATCTTTTTTTACGGTATGTCCTTCACAATTGTTTGATTGTTATTAATAAAGGAATTCCTTCGATAAAAAACTTCTTGTGGGTTCGTTGCTTGGTGTTAAATTGTTTCATTGTTTTAGATATTCAGTAAATTTCCTGTGGCAGTAACAACTTTCAAATAATATGGCATTGTCTACAGATCTAATAATCAAACAAAAACAGGGATGAAGCGTCTGAGCTTGATCTAACTACAATTGCGAACGCATGAACGCACCCCACCTTCGCACATTTACTGTAAAGCTGGGGTCAATAAGAGGTACTTCGAGAATTTCTTTCCTTTTAGCACTTCAATAATCCTCCCGAAACAATCTTTGCATCAAAGGTTGTCCAAATGCCAATTTAGGGTGGAATCATATGAAGACAATATTGGCTAAATGGCAAAAGCCGATTTTGGAGCTATTTTGTCGTAGATTTCATTCACTTAACAGAAATAATCTAAACCAAGACAATTTGTGTGAAATATGTAATTTACATGGTAAATTTGGAATCGGATAAAAATCTGGGGAGTTATGGTTGAAAAACGGACTTTTTGAACAGTTTTTAGTGGTTTTTCGCTACCCGCGGGGAAGCGACTAAAACCACAGTCTTATTTCTTGCATGATGGCAATTTTTTTGCGATATGTTTGAAGAAAATCGGATAAAAAATGAAAAAGTTATTCATGTTTTTATTTTAAGTAGTACGAAAAACCCGATTTTTTCGGTTTTTTGCAATTTTTTATTTGAAGCTATTGTCACAAGAAAACTATCAAGCATTCTCCATAAACCTTGACACACGAGCGACGTTTTGCATTAAGTGCAAAGAACATCAGCTCATCCAGTAAAAACTTTTGTCCACGTGTAACTTTGCCTTGGTTTTTGCAAGAAGTTGTACTCACCATCAGTTTTATCGATTTTTCAGTGAAACCCGGGGGTGCGGAGCGGAAACTGAAAAGTTGTTTGTGACCTATCTTGGTAAATTTGCAGTATGCGTGTACAATTTCAATGAAATCGACCGAGAAATACGCACACAATACGCATACGCAGACACACAGACATACACAGTCAGGAACACACATACAGACATCTTCTGTTTAATAGATATAGATTATTAAATATAATTGACAAAAAAGCTCAATAACTGGGCACAGCAGAGGTGAAAAAAATTGGAGAGCTGAGTTATAAAGGGAAATAACTGAAACTGAGATATCCAGAAAAGGCATGGCATGTGGAACTAGAACAATCTACCCAAGAGGACTAAATAAAGAGTTAGGTTCGAAATTCCAAAATATATTTAACCCAGTTGTACTCTCCGGCCTTCTTCAGGTCGTGAATATGACAATAAAGATGAGGATAATAGTCTGTAAATAGTGTAAATAGTTACTATACCCCGTCTCCGAAATATAGACAGAGACAAAAAGCTGTTGTTTTTTAACATACACACACACACACACACAATCACACACACACACACACACACACACACACACACACACACACACACACATATATATATATATATATATATATATATATATATATATATATATATCAATCCACACGGGCTTAATCAGAAATTGAACAATATAGAAAGAATTAATATATAACCCCACAAATCACGACCTACCCACATTTCTCACCCACGCAAGACAGACATGCTTGCGGAGTTGTTGAGGCCTCATACTTATACACACACCCATACGAATATACACACTTACACACATCATACTCACTCACTCCCTAAAAATCAAATAACACACACACTTAACAGAGACACATCCCCTCTCCAGGAACTAATAAAACTGTCAAAATGACCAATGGAATTCAGAGCAGCATGAATCCATCCAGCCCCTATCTTAAATGACAATTTAAATACGACTATTTGACCACACAAGGTCTGACCAAAATTCATGTTAAAAAATAAAAATAAAAAAAATGAAAATTAGAGACAAAAGTTCGTTTTCTCCTTCAAATCATTCATTTCTGTAGTTTACTGTTACTAACAAGCAGAATTTTTTTTTCATCTGATGATGGCCATGTTGGCCGAAACTAGTGGAATCTAACTGAAATAATAAAAACGAAAGAATATTAATATACAACCCAGTGTGTCTGAGGATTTTAATTTTTTAATGTTCAAAACACATATATATGTGCGTGCATGTGTGTGTGAATAACGTGCATGTGTGTGTGTGCCCGCGCGCGTGCGTGTGTATGTGTGGGTGTGTATGCGTGTGTTGCTGTCTGTGTGTATTTGTAAAGGGAAAGATAAAGAAAACGAGAAGGGAGAAAATACTCTTTTTTTAGGGGTTTCAAATCTTGTGATTGTCTCAGTATCGCATTTTTAAAATAAAAAAAAATATCCCCTTTCCAGAAAGAAAGGCGAATTTGCTTCCGAGCCGTACAGACGTCTTCATGGTTACCTTCGCTCGTCCCCACATTTCAGCATCGACATATACTCATACATGTTACATATTGCCATATCACTGGGTCTCGTGCCAACTAGATTGATGAGGATGTCCCTGCGTGGCTAATATGTACACGCTACTTAGAGAAATACGACGGTGGGAAGGAGAACTGATTTTCGCCGTCCGGACCCCATTCTGCTCAAATCTGTTCTGCACAACCCGATTTTTCATCCCATTCCCCACCTTCAACTGAGGAACGGAAGCAGGTGACGAGAAACAGATGATCACGTGCTACGTTCTCTGAAGGTGATTTATCAAAGGCCAGCGTTCTCCTCCTCCACCGCCCACCACTTCTAACTGAAGTGTAAAGCTTGGCTGAGATAAATTTGGGGTAGCTTGCAAACGACGCTTACCTAAACTGAGAGTGTCATGATTAGCCCTTTCCTATTCCATCTGGTTGTATTCCATATTTTTCTTCTTGAATTCTTCCATTGTCTTATTCTTCTCCCTGTTTCCTTCTATCTTTCCGAGATACTTTTAGCAGGTCTTTTACTGATTCTCTTTGGTGAATGCTTTAAGTATTCTTGAAGGTTTTCTCCATTTCATTCTCTGTCTCATGATACTTTCTTTCTTTCTTTTTTTTTCTTGATCCACCACACTTTTTTCTGCCACTATTCTTTCTTTCTTTCTTTCTTTCTTTCTTTCTTAAGACATTCGTTACTTCTTTTTCCACCATAATTTCTTTATTTTTCGATTATACATTCTTTCTCTTTCATTCTGTTGCTCCTCTACTCATCTCGCCATTTTTCTTTCTTTCTTTCTTTCTTTCTTTCTTTCTTTCTTTCTTTCTTTTTGGGCGACTATTATTTCTGTCTCTCTTTCTTTCTCTATTTCTTTCTTTATTTTTCGACTATATATTCTTTCTTCTTTACACCCCTACACTTTTCTTATACGTCTTTCTTTCTTTCTCCTTTTCTTTCTTTCTTTCTTTCTTTCTTTCTTTCTTTGTTTTTTTCTCTTTCTTTCTTTCTTTCTTTCTTTGTCTCACTATACTTTCTTTCTTTCTTTCTTTCTTTTTCGAATATACATTCTTTCTTCTTTGCACTTCTACACTTCTTATACGTTTTTCTTTTCCTATCTTTCTTTCTTTCTTTCTTTGTCTCATTATTCTTTCTTTTTTCTTTCTTTTTTTCTTTCTTTCTTTCTTTCTTACTTTGTCTCATTATTCTTTCTTTCTTTTTTCTTTCTTTTTTCTTTCTTTCTTTTTCGAATATAAATTCTTTCTTCTTTGCACTCCTACACGTCTTATACGTTTTTCTTTTTCTTTCTTTCTTTCTTTCTTTCTTTCTTTCTTTCTTTCTTTCTTTGTCTCATTATTCGTTCTTTCTTTTTTTCTTTCTTTCTTTCTTTCTTTCTTTCTTTCTTTCTCTCATTATTCTTTCTTTTTTCTTTCTTTCTTTTTCGGATATACATTCTTTCTTCTTTGCACTCCTACACTTCTTATACGTTTTTCTTTTTCTTTCTTTCTTTCTTTCTTTCTTTCTTTCTTTCTTTCTTTCTTTGCCTAACTATTCTTTCTTTTTTTCTTTCTTTCTTTCTTTGTCACACTATTCTTTCTTTCTTTCTTTCTTTCTTTCTCTCACTATTCTTTCTTTATTTTTCGACTATACATTCTTTCTTCTTTGCACCCCTACACTTCTTATATTTTTTCTCTCTTTTTTTCTTTCTTTCTTTCTTTTCATTATGGTAAAAGTAGAGAATGTAACCCTTATGGAATACGTTGAAAGCGACAGAAGGTAGAAACAACGAATAATCCAGTTGTGTTGGAGAAAAAAGATGGCGGACACGTAGCAGAAAGACAAAAGAAAATGTTACAGAGGGTGTAACAATAGACCGTAATTTTTGAAGAGCCACGTTCGATCCCGTCCAAAAATGATAAAGCGCACACACACATACACACACACACGCACAGAGAGCGTGAGAGAGCGAGAGAGAGAGAATGAGAGAGAGAGAGAGAGAAACATGTATATGTTTCACAGATAAAAAAAACATGTATGTTTCACACGGATTATATTATCAAAAATAAGTTGCATCTGTAAGGCTCCTTGTCTTGACCATTTACTCGGACTCAAGATTACTCCACGCATTGAAACTCATATATACGAACCATCGCTT